TGGTTTTTCAAATAGAGCAAAAAGGGTTTACTGTGTGCTGTTTAATAACAAAAATAAGACGTTTTTTTATACAGCTGGTGTCCTAAATAAGCCAGTTTTAAATGAGTAAATCTGTTTATGTTGGGCTGTAGTGATTAGATTTAAAGTCTATATACCCATCCAGTCCTATTATTAATATGCTAAGGAATATAGCTAATTTATTTTGAAATGTTCCGGAGCCTTTTAGTAAAAACCTTTGACTGTTTTTATACGTTCCAATATCTTTATATTCCAACGTTAATGTGATTAATAAATCCAGGGTTTAATGAACCTACAGGGAACTGGCGTCTCTCATTTGGGTTTCCCTCCATTGTTCTCCATCCTCTGAGTCCCTATGATAGCGCCGCTTGCTAATCATTTCTATGAGTGCAGTTATTGATGGATTAACCTAATCTGTTCCTAATGGGCCCATAATCCCAGTTTAAAGACAGGTGTCAGTGAAGCATCATTCAGTGGTCATGCTGATTAAAGTGAGTACTCCTGTTTGGGAAGGACTCGGCACTAAAATTTAGATCACGATGACTTTTTCTCTAATCAGCTGCATTGATTTTAGTTTATAATGATGTAATTAACAGGTTTTCTGTTCCATATTTAGCTCCAGACAACAGAGCGCCCTGCCTGCTTATTCCAGCCTGTACCTCTGTGTTTGGATGCCCCTGACCGGCTCCTTCACCCGGCTGTGGGCCGTCAGCTTGACAGTGCAGGACGCTGTCCAGGGAATCCATGGAGGAGGCGGAGTTAACAGAGATGCCGGACGCTGATGTGACAGAGGAGCGGGAGGAGTGGACAAACGAACGCACCTGAAGAGGAAAAACAGGAAAAAGAAGAGCAGCAGTCTGAAAACATCCTGTTTTGTTGAGGCTGAGACGCTTCCACAGACGTAATGTTGTTTTTTTACCTCATGCTCGCTGACCGTGCCCACTGATCCTGTCCGTCGATGTTGACGCTGAGAGGATCCTGGCCGTCGCACCGAGGCTGACGTGTAGGAGGAGGCGGAGCTAAGAGAGTGAGAGGAGGTTTGTCGTGCAGCTTCATCCATGCTGAGAGACGCCTGAGGACAGAGGAAGACATGAGTCATCATGTGATGAGTTTTCAATCTCTGTTCACAAACCGACTGAGATACAAGAGCTGCACTAAAAAAAAGGTTTCTAATAATAGAAGGAAGGAAGGAAGGAAGGAAGGAGAGAAAAAGAAAATAAGAAAGAAATGAATCAAGGA